GCTTGAAACCCCTGCAGACAGTATCTATGAACAGTTAACAGTACCAAAAGTTTCCACAAATTTTAGATGGAAACAAAATATAGCCTTGTAGTTATATATTCAGTGACTTCAGTGCTCATTAGCAATCAGACACATTAAAGCAGATGAAACACCTTCCAAAGCTGGCAATTAGGAAGCCTGGAAACAGGATTGACTACTGTGTTTTCCAAAGGAGTGAAACAAAAAGGCGACACCAAACCAAGGCTGGGCTGACCCGCACGCTCTGGGTGGGCACCGTCCCTCGCCAGCGCTGCAGGGCCCTACGCCTGTGGGACCGCTCCTCTGCAACTCATTAGCTTCTATTTATTACATCTCATTTTGCGTGAGTTATTCTAAAGAAAAGATTCATTATTGCAGATTTTTTTTTTTTAATCCCTACCCGCTGCAGAGCAGAACATCTCATCTCCCAATTAAACCAGGGCTACATCTAGACAGTTTTAATTCCGATGGATGAAAACCGGATTACTTTAGCACAACTATGATCTGCTTTTAATAACTAACAGATCAAGCCCAGCAGAGCCACCTTCCTTTTTGGAAGGAGACAACGGAAAGAAAATAAAAAACTTCAGGAAACATTTTTGTACTCACACCTGTACTAAGGCCGTTCTTTGGTTACTGAGACACCTTGTCCTCAGCTGGGGAATAACCCCATCCCCTGCATCAACATGGGGATGTTGCACTTACTTGGTGACTTTCTGACATGAAGAAGGAGCCCAGGTTTGTTTTTTCCCCTAGCACGGTAATGCTGTCACAGGTACGGGGTAATTGATGGGCGAGCAGGCAGAGAACATGATCCAAATTCTGGATCTCAGATGCTGGATTGCAAGGACAACTTACACCCTTACAAATGATTTGCAAGGCAGGAAGGAAATAAAATGTGATGGACTATTTTTCTCTAATATAACCCTTGTTGGTTGATCTGCAGCTGGTAGATAAGTGCTTCCTTTTCCTCCCTAAATATAGATGAAATGCTCAGCATGGAACAACTTCAACGCCTTTCACCCAACCTCTCAAGCCTTCTGCAAGCGCAGCCAGGACGCATGTGAAGCCCTCACGTCCCATCCGAGCCCCCGTGGTATAGACATGGCTGGTGCTGGAAAACACAGTGGGAAGGAAAAGGCCAATTCCCTCTTTGCTGGGAACTCTTCTTGGTTGATGGAGACTGATGAACACTTTTGGCCAGGCTACTATTGGCCCCCCAACTCATTTCAGTTCAAATACCTACACCTGGGAGGTACCCTGTGTACCTTCAGCACTGCACTTTGGTTATGGGAAACGATTACAGGGATCTTCCTGAAAGCATCTGCCTTGAGTCATTTTGTGGATGCCAGGCTCACCCTGCCACACTGGAGAATGCAGCATGAACCCAGACCACATCCACCAGGGAAATAGTCCAGTTGGTGAGCCAAGGGAGGTCCGGGGCACAGGCCTGCACCCACACCACGAGGGAACATCTGGATCCAGGGGCACAGACTTGGATCTGCTTGTGGAAGGTCAGGCACATCAATTTATGAAGGCAAAAAAGGATGACAGTCACTTTTCCGAGCCTACCAGCCATTCATTTCACCCTGTTACCTGAGGCTTCCAAAGAGAACAAAATGGGTGGGGATTTCAGGACTATTCCCTGTGCTAAGAATGGCTAATTGACATGGCAATCAATCCCAGCACCACAGGGAAGAGGCAGGGATGCTCACACATACTAGCAGACTTGCTAAGACCCAGCAGCAGCACACAATCCAAACCGCACTACAAGAAACTCGTGGCTGCAAATAAACAAGGTAAATGTGGCTGGAAAACAACCCACTTGCAAAAGTGAGGTAGAAATGTAAATGAACATAATCGGAGATAACTGGTAGGCAAGCATTTGCAGACAGTGGAGTGGGTGGTAAACACATGCATAAAGCAAGTTCAACAAAGCAGGGCAAAGAGTTTTATTCTAAAAATTACCAAAATGCTAACTTTCATTCAAAAAATCTTTTCTGCAAGGCAGCTGCAGCATACTCCCCCGTCTTAGGCACTTGTTACAGTCATCTCGAGGATACGCTTATTGTCACAGCCCAGGGAAAGGAGCCACCAAAGCCCCTCTCTGGAGAAGGCTCCCTGAATTAATTGTTAAATTATAAAGTTGCCGCTGTCTCGAGATCTGAGCTAATTAGTTCAAAAACACTGTAATAAACTGGATTTTTTGTACCATGGTGTTTATAAAATATACTACAAAGCAAATGTAATTATTCAAGAACTCAGCATTGTGGCTAAAGAATCAAAGAGGATGGAGCCAAAACACACCAGCAACCTCTCAAAGAGAGATAGAAACCAGCATGCAGGGGGGAGAGAAATCTGGGAGGAACATGCAGAAAAGACAGGGCAGAGGAGCTCTCCCACCCATAGGAGCCAAAGGAGGGCTGCACTCAACCCTGGTTGTCTTTGCTTGTCCTTCGGGCTTAAGAAGCCGATACCTTCTTGGCCCCGAAAAAGTGAAAATACCAGTAACAGTTTTCCAGGTCACTGTGAGCAGGGTGCAAGTGTTCTGTGGGGTTTTTTTAGGGCTCTGTGCGGGGTAACTGGAAAACAAACATTCTGCAGTAAGGCTTAAGTTTATTAGACAATTTAAGCTGTCCTTGGCTAGTGCAGGAGTGCCAGAATCACAGCTCTCCGAGGTTCAGTGGGACACACCTCACTGCCCTAGACCCACTGAGTCCTGAAGGATTTCACAAACACTTCACCTGTAACTGCAGGAAGACACTCAGACACAAGGAACAGGGGAAAAAAAAAAGGGGGGGTGTGAGGGGGAAAAGACTTCAAAGTCTAATGCTGGATTTTGAAGACACTGACATACCCCAAACACAACAGCTCCTATCTCTGCATTGCCTCTTGATTTCCCAAGAAAGTAACACCAGACATTCAAACTGCAGTTTCCTCTACCTAAAATCCCATTTTCTACATAAATCCCTGGCCTTAAGAGTCTAAATCCTAAACTATTATTCATCTAAGCAGGTGCCAATGAACGATTCTTCGTAAATCAAGGAGCAGAGGCTACAAGCAAGATGCATTATTTCTCTGACATTTCCAGACTCTTTCGTACAGGTTGGCATTTCAATATTGGTGTTTAAAATTATTAATATGAGAACTGTTTGAACACCTCAAAACTCAGACCTTGCAGGACACGGTGACATAAATCACGTTTTGTAACGATTTTATTACCATCTTCCTGCAACTCCTTAACTTTATAAGGATACCTTTGATTTTGCAATTACTCACTACAGTTTGATGGTTCCCAGAGCACAGGTTTTCTGCAAACAATATACACTGACAAATTTTATTCTCCACTGGAGCCTGAAATTCAGAATTAAATGTAATAGAACTGAATTTATTTTTTATTAGTTATTTTAGTACAATTTAGTATAGATTGTTTCCAAAAGACACCCTCCCCTAATTCCTTTGGAAAGCCAAGCAGCTGTTGAATTCCTCCTGGGCCAGTATCAATCTATTCTTGTTACTAATAGTGTTACTTAAATTATGCATCAATAACTTAGGTGGCAATCTGTTTCTTTTTTTTCCCCTGGGCCCTTCACCTTAGAATGGAAAAAAAAATTTTGCATTCGAGGATTTGCTCAGGCACAGTTGCCAATGGCAACAACCAAGACTGAGACTGTAAATAAAGCAACTTTAAGTTGAATTAAAACAAAAATAATGCCAGGTATCCCATTTTTTCTCTGCTCCTTTACAGCTGTTCCCATAAAATAGCAAAACACAAAAGCAAGCCACAGTTTTGTAACTGTGCAGAAGTTTTCAGCAAGGAGACTAATCATTTTCAAACACTGATTTAAAATACTTTGGATCTTTTGCAGGTGGTGATTTTAACCCTGTGTGTACTGTGAATCACCGTGCATGGAAAGCCCTACACCACCCCTCACTAAAAGCAGCTCCCACCTGAGTGAGGGACACAAGAGCATTCCTGACTTTAAACACAAGCAAAGAATATGCAAAAACTAACATCATCATAATTAGCATGGTAAGTAGCTGCTCCACCAATTGCCTAGGTAGCACATTATAACACATTTTTATTACCTTTCTAGTACGCTTTTCTGGAGTTCTGAAAGCCAAACTATACTTGGCATTTTTCATATCCTGCATCTTTAAAGATTTTTATTTTTTTTTTTACGTTTCACTTGTATTTCAATTTGTGTTGATGGTATTTACGAAGGGTCCCAAGTCTCAAAGTGTTTTACAGGCACACAGGCTGCTGAGACATGCTCGGTCTGCAAAGCACTCCAGCAGCATAAGGGATGCTGGTGTCAAAGGGCAGCACCACTCTTCGCCATGTTTAGGATAGAGAATGTTATTATCATTCTAGCTGTCTCATTTGTCCTGCAAAACTGTTTTGCAGAAAGGCAGCTCCAGTTTCAAAAGGAAAGCATCCTCTATTAACTTCCACATCATGTCCTTTGCCAAAATTTCTCCAAAGGAAGAAAAATACATTATTTCAACTCTGGCTGAAAGGAAGGAGGGTCCACAGCTCTGGTAAGCATTACAAAGATCCAGAAGAGAAAAAACACAGCCCTAACCTATTCTGGTGTAGCTTCCTTACCGAGCACTGAAAACCATCATGGAAAAACAGGAACAAGACAAACCAGCTGACCGACATCAACAAGATTTGTTCCTGCTGTTCTCAAAATGCAAAGTGAATGTGGCAAAGCACACAAGATACCACACTGAGCTCCACATGGAGCCCTTAAACACATTGCCTGGATTGCCACCATAGTGCTCAGAGTTATCACCGCAACCTGCAGCCTCTTCAGTAACTATTCCACAATGCTCTCTGCAATATGCGCTATGCATTTCCACCCTCCCAGGAAGTGTCCAGCTCACTCTAGAGAGAAAATGCATTGGAACAAGGCAACTGTGCAACACTTCCAAGGAGAAGATACAGTGCCCGGTATCACACCCTGGCAGTGTCTCACCTTTTTGTGAGCTATCAGGAGGCAGTTTGAGTGTTCGTGCTCACACGCGATTTCATAGTCGGGGATGAGGTCTGCCAGCTCCTGGACGAAGAGCACCACCTCCTCGTGCCAGGGGATGTTGGCCATGGTGAGGCTGCTGGCCGAGCTTTCGCCGCAGTACGTCATGCCCTGAGAAGAAACATGGAAACAAGCATTGTCAGCTTAACCCTTCACAAGCTCAGAGCACTGCCAGCACAAACCCCTGAAAACAGTTTGTTTTGTCCCCCTCTTCACACCATATCTTATGGAAAGGTAACAGACCTGGAGATGATATTAAAAACAAAAATCTGTCTCCCTCAGTGACACATCGCAAACCACTGTGTGCTCAGGCTTCCACAGCAGTAAAACACAGGTTAGTCTTTATTCTGGAAAGTAGCTTTAAAAACATTCAAACGGAGGATGCTTGTGCTCCTGTCCTACCAAGGGACCACTGAGAAGGTCACTTGGTTTTGAAACATGACATGCCTGGAAGGAATTCTCACAACCAATGCAACAGTCAGTGTGACGCTTCTGGAGATAACTGTCCCATGTGCCACAGAGGTAAGGACCTTTCCAAGCCAAGGCTGTGATTTCTGACACTGTCCTCTTGTATCCACACAGATCTCATTCCAGGCCCTTGTAAACCACCCTGTGTGCCCTCCTCTCTAACCCTGCCTAGTGAAGCTCCCCCAGCTCTACAGCGCTGGCTCTCCCTGCTTCCAGCTGTTCAATTTAATTATGAGAGAATTAATCCTGCCTATTTTAGCTGCAGACAATTGCTGTAACTGTCCCAGATCAAGACCATTCTGGCATTCAAGATGAAAAGATGGTCCCTGCACTCCAAAACCCATTTTTTTGTCTTCCCCATGATGCCCATGCAATGAGATTCAGGTACCCGTAATGCTCTATGAATACATATATTGGAGATTTTGAGTAAAACTCAGTTTTATTGACGTGATTGTTTAGATCTTGAGACCTCAAGGTTCTTCCCAACTCCTGGTCATTTTATAGAAAAAAATTACAATACTCCCAGTTTTGGAATAAGAAACAGGAGTTTCTAAAGCATTATGCATCCATGCACAGATGGGCTGGGCAGAGCCCCACTGGGCAGCGGTGCCCAGACTCAGCACTGGCAGAGATGTGGCTCATTAGGAAGAAAGTGTAGATGCAGATGCTGGCAGGGTAGCAGCAGCTTGAGCCCAGAGAAACAGTGGATTTCTTTTAAACACCTTTCCTTCCAAAGAAGAGGGGGAAAAAAAACTACCCACAAGTGTACAAATCATCCTTCTCTTCTGTGCATGCACAAAGTGTACAATTCTTGAGAGCACAAAGAGCAAAATCACACACACACAAAAAAATAGGGCAAAACTGGAATAAAGCAGAGGATGTCTGTGAACCTTGAAGTCTTCTGACAAGTGCTAATTTTAGGTTCAAACCAGGGGGATGCAATTGGGCTTTAAGGGTGGAGAAATTTTGAATTTACATGGTCCAGTGTCACATCAGCCATTGGCTTCTAAGACCTTTGCTAAACCAGAAGCAGCTCCATGGGGATGAGAGCATCTTCACTGGGGGCAAAAACAGAGTTCCCCAGAAAAAGAGGGCTTTACTTCTGACCCTCTGCTCATCTAAGCTGTTTTTCTGCAGTAACTAAGCACCTAATGATCCTTAACGAAGCCAGCAAGTCAATACCTCTGGGAGGGACATGTTCTTACCTTCTTTTCACAGCCTGCAAAAAAGGGAGACAAAGACTTGCACGGGGCCACAGGGGAAGCTGTGGGGGAGGACAGTCACCCTGGACAGCATCGTAGCACTGCTGAAACCTCACCTGCCTAATCCAGCCTGCTTTGTCTTGGGTCTGCTCCTCTCCACAGCACCACTGCTCTTCCAACTTCTAGTTAGGACAAGACTTACAGAACCGTAAGAAATCATGAAGGCTAGAACGAAGGTGCTGCTCTTTGTTGTTCATTCACTTCTTGGAATGCAGAAGTCACTCAGCAATGAGCTGACTGTTGAGAGACAGCCCCAGCACAGACCACAAGAGCTGGTTTGCTGCTGGCTCTGCTGCTACCTCCAGCGATTCAGGGTTCCACCAAGACCCTTGACACCAGCATGAAAGGATGATGAACATGAAGACTCATGTGGCCAAATGCTTCTAGAAACCAGAACCCTGCTCAGCAGCCTCCATCTAACTAAAGAAATATAAGTCACCAGTTTCCGAGATTATTCTTTAATTCTCTGTTTGCATGGAGGTCTGCAGGCTGCTCACCAAGTGCCTGCCGGGTGGGGGTGAGAGCGTTTTAAGGAAGATATTGGGTATGCTCCTCCCTATCTTTTCCCCAGACCTCACCTACAGAAGACAGCTACAGCAACTACTGGGCACTCAGTGCACCAGATCCTGGTTAAAAACTAAAAAAAGAGGAAAAAAGAGATTGGAGGCACTTGTCCAAACTGCTCAGTATCACCCCTGGACATCGAGGGCCATGAGATATATACAAAAATAACATTAGCACAGTAAAGCCAGTGCAAACAGTCAGTAAACACACTGATTATTTTCAGGGCTGAGTACACAAGCCAACACCCAAAGATATAAAGGCATTTGTAAAACTCCTTCCAACTCATCTCATTCCTACTATCTTTAGCTTAAATTAATTCAGTAAATACTGAGAACTGTTTGGAAAGAAGTCTATCTTTGCCTGTGCTTCCCGCACATGCAGAGGGAGGGTGAAAATCCAGGCTTAAGTTGATGCTGTAGAGAAACTTGTTGTTTACTGATGAGTAGAATTGACCTGATGACATTAAAAAGCAGCTTGTGTTGTTTTGGTCAAAGGTCACCAGAACAACCGAGGAATTTCTATAATCCTACCACTCCACAAACTCTGCGCTGCTTTGTTAAACACTGAGAGCCCAAGTAATCGCCCCAGAGCAAACATCCGCAGGAAACATCAAGGGATGTTTTTTGTAAGATTGATTTGCACTGATTGCATATCTCCCATCCAACACCGTCTGCCAGCTGAAAGGCCAGCACCATCGCTCACGCACCCCCAAAGCCCTCATCACTTCTGATCTCCCCTGACTTGGCAGAAGTAAAGGTCACACAGCGCTGGCATGTTGCATCTGCAACCCCCCCCCCAAAAAAAAAAAAAAAAAAAAAAAGGAAAAAAGCTGGTCCATGAGGTGGCAAGTACCCAGCACCTGCTGAGTGATGTGATGAGCACTATGAGCACCCCTTGGGCAGATCACGGAGAGGAGCTTCCCACAGCACATCAGTCTGCAGAGCTCTGTAGGTCACTAGTGCGGACAGGCAGGAGCACGAGCCTTTGGGGAAACAGCTTTTCTGATCATTTTCTGGAAGCGCACTCAAAACTAGTCACTAGTTTAGAAGTGGCACTGTTCAAAGGACACCATCTCAGATTGAACTGTATTAAGTCAGCAGAGATACTGAGTTCTTGTTGCAGTTCCCTTCCCAACTACCCCATACAGTAAATGGACCAAAGGAGAGCACGTTTCTGCTGAGCCCTACACAAAGCCAAGACACAGACACTGCTGGTTTGGGCAATTTACTGGCAACAGAAGCTGAGGTCCTCCGGGTCACTGTAGTACCCACCCCCTACAGCTACCAGCTCCATGCCCAGCAACAATCACTGGTCAGTAAATGCAACCCCTCAAGTTCTCCTACACCCCACTCCACCCTCGTAATTTTGAGATCAGATGCTCTTAATTTGGAGAATTGATCACATGAACCTCCTGAATTACTGATTTAGTCTTAACTATGACCTCAATTCACTACTACTTTGCTCCATCTTGAATTACATTAGGAAATTTCTCATAAATTAGCTCAGCAGTATGTGGCTTGCTGAGATGTATTTTTGCTTATGTCTTTCTTTCCAGTTAAAATTCATTAAATTCTTATCCAACTGGTTTAATCTGTGGTATCACAACAAAGGTCACAAACCTACCAGCATCCAAAAGGACAAACTCACGCAAAAACCAGCTTTTCTTCTAGACAGAAGGCCCAACTCCTCTGCACCTCTTTAGGTGGTTTCATCACCTTTGCTCTTCAGCTGAGCTATTTTATTCCAGTCACAAAATTCCATCAAGCACTGGTCTTTAAAACAGAGAGCACACAATTTTATGGATGATTATGTTTTGCATTCTCATGCTTTTCCTCTGTGAAGAACACTTGCACTTCTTTTAAGTGGCATTTGCATCCACACTATGTTTACAGCACCTGGTCCCAGCTGACACTGCACTGTCAAGACCTAATTCATCTACGTTGTTGAACACGTCTTGTCCAGAGATAAACAGACACAGATCCTTTGCAAACACTTAGAATTAGAGCAAGGTGAACCACACAGCGCACTTAAACGGTGCTACAAAAGAACACTCATGCTAATTAGAAACTGCACGAGTTTTGGAAGCAACTACTTTCTCACTGGTAAATTTATGAGGGACCTCCTCTATTAATCTGCCCAAGAAAGGATATTAGAGCTGTGCACCATAACTCAGAGCCAGCATGGGAACAGGTTGACTGTGCACAACTGCAGACAAGTCGGGGGAGTGCTAAGACAGGGAAGTACATTAATTTAGTCAGGCTCTGAAAGGCTAAAAAAGATTTTAAGCATTCTTATATTAGAGCAGGCAGCCACACAAATAACAGGGTATGTATCTCCAAAGTTCAGCTATATAGACACAGCTCCATATAGCAATATTTTCCCCACGTTCATTATACAGATTATGATTTGAGAAACATGAAAACTGTATAACTACAGAGGGGGAAAATTCTTAAGAAGCTACAACATGACTCATTCTTTTAATAAACTTCAAAGATATCATTTACAAGCAAAGGAAGCACAGAGGCAAATGGAATAACTAAGTGCTCGGATGGCTGATTAATTCACAAGCACAAATCAATGAAAATCAGCTTAGCAGCACACCAAATGAAAGCATGTCAGCTTTCGACTTCCCTAACTTCTTAAAACTTGAGTTAATTAACAGTGCTGATACCACTTAAAAGATGTGAACAGTTGATTAGGGTGGTCATGTTATATTTTTCAGTAATACACGATGACAGTTATTAAGACATTAAGTATTAAAAGAGGAAACCATTCTATTGTACACCCTAAGCTCCTCCACCAACTTCCCTGCAGTAG